TGATTTGGGTGAAAGTTTACAGAGCAAATTCACTTTCCATACAGCATTTCACATACACTTTGTCTCATGACATTGACCACAATTTACCACAATGCAACATCTCCCCTCCCATTTCCTCCCGATAGTTACCTCTTCCCTGTGTCCTTCGCTCCATGCACTCCTGTCCCCTGCCACTCCTGTCTCCCTGTGCATACACAACCCTTCTGTTCTCCCATGATTGTTCTCTCCAAGGAGTGTGTCTACCTAGTGTAAATGTTCACCTCTTATGCTTGTCTTTTGTTTGGCTGGAAGCCACAGGAGTGAGTTCAATTCTAGACCTGAAGGGCAGCTAGGGGCCATAGTCTCAGTGGTTCCACCAGGCTCTATCAGACCAGTAAACCTGGTCCTTTTTTTTTTTTTCCCCCAAATGGTTCTTAGTTTTGTTCCACATTGTTCTTCTTCTCTATCCAGAATCTCCTACATAGATTCCCCCTCTGAGTGGTTGACAGTGGTAGCCAGGCACCATCTAGTTCTTCTGGTCTCATAGTTGTATAGGCTGAGGATCAAAGCCAGGTTTTAATGTCATGTTCTTTACCACAAAATTGAGACTTATTCTCCATAAGTGTTAAGATGCTTTTTAAAGTGGAAGGCTTCATGTAGGGCTCCCTGCTATGGTAGAATGGGAACTTGAGTTGGGAGCCATACCACCTGAGTCCAAGTTCTATATCTGCCACTAGAGGCAGTGTGGCTTTGAGGAAAATCACTTCATTTCTCTGGGCTGCCTTTTCTCAATGTTTAAAATGAGAGAGATGGTTGGGGCGATTGTGAAGGGCTCTTCTAACTCTGACACTCTGATTCTACAAAAAAGGTTACCACAGCCTCTTGGTACACAGTCTGAGATCTCAGTTATACCCAAAACCTTTTTCAAAGCAGTTGTCTGGAAGTGCTTCAGAGGAAGAAGAGTAAAGGAAAGACACATCGGTGGGGAACTGAGGCTCTGTGAGGAACTCAGGCTTTGCCTGAAGGAGTTTCCTCTGCTCTGCCGAGAAAGTTAAACCGAAGGACCCACATCACCTGGACTGTGAAGTCCTACATTCTGTTGTTCCCCTTTACTTTTCAGAAATTTGGAGAGCTTGCAATGACCAAAGAATCAAAGGCCTTGATAGGACTCTACCATGGTCAAGTCCTATGCAAGAAGAATAAATTTGGAGCTCCTCAGAAGGATGTGAAGTAAGTTAAACTGAACCTATGAAAACACTTGTGAATTTTATAGTGTAGCAGAGCTTATAGATCTTTGAAGAACAGTAGAGCTTGATGTGTATCTTAATTCAGTCTTGCCCTAAACCTCTTCTGTCCTGATCACATTTGATCCCTTAATTTTACCAAGAACATTTTGGCTTTCAGAGTTCTGCCTATCCTGAGTTTTCTCCAGGCCCCACTAGTGGCTCTTATAGAGACAGTTTCTTATCTCCCTGTTGATGTCCCATAGAAGTATGATTTAGGTCTCCCTTCCTAAGCCAAAGGATCCCTGATAATGCAGTGGTTAAAGTGCTTGGATGCCAACCAAAAGGTTGGCAGTTTGAACCCACCAGGCTCTGTGTGGAAGAAAGATGTGACAGTCTGCTTCCATAAAGATCTACAGCCTTGGAAATTCTATGGGGCATTTCTACTCTGTTCTATGAGCTAGAATCAACTCAACAGCAGTGGCTTTGGTTTGGGGTCCAAACCAAACACACATAACTGTGCAGTTTTAATGACCTTTCCTACCCCTATACCTTGAGATACCATCTCTAGGTACTCACACTTCTTCCTCATTAAAAAACATAAAGCCTCATAGCCTTATTGTAATTATTAAAGTCTTGTCCTTCTTCAACCTATAACCTAAGCTAAATTTTTTATTCTACTTGTCTATTTTGTGTCTGTTCTCTCCAGCCAGCTTTTTAATGTTAGAGTGCCTGTATAGCTTCTTCTATGTCTTAAGTTTAATAATACACTTGAAACCATTCAAGAATACTAAAGGGTAAAGCAAATAGTAATGAAAGTTCAAGAAAAGTTCAGGGATGGAAAAGAGAATGTGTGTATATTGGGGTAGTTGAAATGGGGTAAGGTCTAGAATCAAAGACACCATCCAGGAGGCTTTTGAAATCATCTAAGTGAGAGATGATAAAGGCACAGATTAGACTGAATGGATGGAGGCATGAAAACAAATTTCAGAAGAAATCAAAGATGACTGGAAAATGGTAAAGTCACTAACAAATGAGTAATCAGAGAAGAGAGGTTAGTCTTTGGGCATAACATAATCTAATTTTCAATCTAATTTTCTCTTTTTAGGTATACCAGTTCTTTTAGAGCTAATAGATTTTTACACTTAACTTTGAAAATCAATTATTTATTAAAGTATATTTTTGGACATAAAAATTATTTTGAATACCTTATTGTTGTGCCTGCTTTATTTGACTTATTAGGGCCCCCTGTCTTGGATGTTAACTTGGGCAATCTCCCACTGTCACGGAAATGAATCAGAGTTATTTATCAAAAGCTGTTTTGTCCTTTCCTTTTAGGAATCTAGCTATTCTTGGTGCAGGACTGATGGGAGCCGGCATTGCCCAAGTCTCTGTGGATAAGGGACTAAAGACTATACTTAAAGATGCTACAGTAGCCGGCTTAGGCCGAGGACAGCAACAAGTATTCAAAGGGTAAGCCTGCACTCAACCTTGTCACTCCTTTGCTGGTGGTTACAATGGTTTTTTTTCCCCCTTCATAGCTCCTTTTTTCCTGAACATAACGAGCCCTAGATACTCCATAATCAAGCCGAGTTTCCTTTGATTTTTAGAAACACTAATTCCTTTGTCACCTATTTTTTGCAGCTGTTATAGACCATTAACATCCTTGTAGTCTTTGAGTGCACAGCAATTAGATATTTTTAAATACCACTTAGGAGCTCTGGTGGCATAGTGCCTAAGGCATTTGACTACTAACCAGAAGGCTGGCGGTTCAAACCCACCAGCCACACCTGGGAAGGAAGGTTGGGCAATCTACGTCTGTAGAGATACCACCTCAGAAACCCAAGAAGGGGTCACTGTGAGTCACAATCGACTTGACAGCAGTGAGTTTGTTTGGGTTTTGTGGTTTTTTTTGGTAAATACCATTTACTTTATGCTTTACTATCAGATTAGAAATTCTCCAGTTTGTGAATTTTGATACTGTCCCTATTTAATTGCTGTATTGTTATGGAACACTGGAACAGCATGGTTCTGCATGTTGAGGAACTGAGATAAGAGGTAGCTGCATGCTATAGGCATGGCTGGGATCACCACCCTTGAACCTTCTATTTTTTGACTGGTATTACTATAGAGAAGCAGTTAACTGATTAGGCTCCGCAATGTCTGAGACTTGACAGACTCTGTCTGAATCTTACCTCTGAATTAATAAAGGGTGGGTATTGCTCTCCCCCCTCCCTGCCTACCCTTCACACACACACACGCTGCCTATTTTATAGAGGGGAAAAATGGACAGCAGCTTGGGCACCTTGGGAATTGGTTTCAGCGTCATGCTATGCTCAAATATAACAGACAAGCTGGCTGCACTTAGTCTGCCCTGCATGTGATTTTTAGCTGAGTGAGCTATTTTTTGTTTTTCAAATGGACTATGTAACTTAAGTATGTTGTTATTGCTGTTCTGCAGGGAAGCTTATATGTTCTACCATAATGTTAACCAGGACCTGGCAGATAGGAAGGAGTTGTAGTAAAAGATTCTGACCAAAAAAAATAGATATCAGTATTGTATCCAAAACAGCATTTCATACAGTCGTCAAAATGGGAAACGACTGCTCTAGAATACCCTCCTCCATTTGCTCTCCTTTGGATACAGCTGTGCCAGGTTTCCCTTTGCACCTCAGAAACATCAGCTGTTCCAGGGGCCCCTCACCACACTGCTGACTTGGGACATAAACCTGTTTCCTATCCTCTCTTGGAAGTAGTTTTCTTAGGCATTAGATTAGAGCAACTGCTAATGGTTTAAATTCTGACAAGCATCTCACTTGCTGACTGCTAACATGGTCATCAGAAACCAAGAGGTACTTGGTACATACTTTAAGACCTTAATTGAATATTTCTTTGAATTTATCTGATGTTTTTAACTTTTCTTCTGGTTAAGGATATTAGTGAATGGGTTTTAGCTTCATTCTTCATTCAAGGAAAGTTCTGGGTCATCCACTCTGAAAGTGTTGTCATATTGAAACCTGAGAGAGCCTGTTTTCCTTGGCAATAAAAAAAAATCAGTTAAATGTCTAAGTAGTTCCCTATGGGGAAAAAGAAACCTTGAGTTAATATTTTATGTAATCAATACAGTGTGCTACTAGGTACTGAGTGGGATGTGGACTGAGGATATAAGAAATAATGCTTGGTATTTATCCTGTAGGGAATTCTAATTACAAAATAACATAAATCGATAGATAAGCAAATATAAAACCATGTGGTCTTAGACAGCCGTTGACTCTTTCCCCTATTGTAGACAGAGAATTATCAGAGCTGCTCTTTTGTTTTGCCATTAAGTATTCATGTTATTTATTCCTCTTGGCAAATTAAACAGTTTTACCAGTGATGCAGTTTATGTAAGTTAGGCATTTGGAGGCATTTTGTAGTAAAAGTGTAGACCTGCAGGTCAACCAGACTTTGAACCCAGGACCCTCCCTTAATAGCTGTTTGACCATGAGTCCTTCTGAACCTCTTTGAGCAAGTCAGATCTCTCAGAATGGGAATAATATAACTACCTCATAGAGTTGGTGAAAAACACATAGTGTACTGTCTGGTCTATGGACACTCAATCAGTGTTGGTTTCCTATTCTTCCCCTCTGACTAGGAATGTGTTTTTTCTAGATTGAATGATAAAGTAAAGAAGAAAGCTCTAACATCATTTGAAAGGGACTCCATTTTCAGCAAGTTGACTGGGCAGCTTGATTACCACGGTTTTGAAAAAGTTGACATGGTGATTGAAGCTGTTTTTGAGGACCTTAATCTTAAGCACAGAGTGCTAAAGGAAGTAGAAGCGGTAAGTAAGGGCCCCCTATACTTGAATCCAAATGTAGTGAATGGAGGACACTGAGATGGGCTTTTTTGTTTGCTATTTTAAAAGGAACAATAGGAAACTCAAGATACTTTTTATAGGACTATTCGTTTCCAAACATAAGTGTTTGTGTGAGCCCATGCACATTGCATATGCAATAAAGGGCAGATTTAAGTCCTGAGGGAAGAAAATCAAGTAGAGCAGGGTTCATTAGCCTTTCTCATTTTTTTAAAATTATTTTTATTTTAATTGTGATTTGGGTGAAAGTTTACAGAGCAAATTCACTTTCCATACAGCATTTCACATACACTTTGTCTCATGACACTGACTTCAATTTACCACAGTGCAACAGCTCCCCTCCCAATTCCTCCCCATAGTTACCTCTTGCCTGTGTCCTTCCCTCCATGAACTCCTGCCCCCTGAGCTATATCCCTGTGCATACATAGCCCTTCTATTTTCCCATGATTGTTCTCTCCAAGGAGTATATCTACCTAGTGTAAATGTTCACCTCCTATGCCTGTCTTTTGTTTGGCTGGAAGCCACAGGAGTGGGTTCAATTCCAGACCTGAAGGGCAGCTAGGGGCCATAGTCTCAGTGGTTCCACCAGGCTCTATCAGACCAGCAAACCTGGTCCCTTGGTCCCTTCTCCCCCCCACTAAATGATTTTGAGTTTTGTTTTCCCACCCTATCCAGGATCTCCTACATAGATCCCCCTCTGAGTGGTTCACAGTGGTAGCCAGGCACCATCTAGTTCTTCTGGTCTCATAGTCATATAGGCTCAGGATTGCATGGTGTATCAGTTACTTGGACTAATTGTTTCCACAATCTTTGGTTTTCTTCATTCTTCTTTGCTCTGGCCAAGGAGAGACCCATTGTTGCATCTAGATGGCTGCTTGCATCATTAGTCTTACTCTTATGGAAGTTGAGTTACCCAGGCACACAGATAATAATGTCATGGAGTACAGCAAGATGTCTTGAGATTTTTAGCTGGCTGTAAACTATAACCAAACTTCCTCAGGTCTAGTCAGCAGAGGAAATTGGGGAGAAGCAGCTTCCCCAGGCAAGATTCAGATGCTAGTTCTATAGAAATGGTGCTTACATTCTGATCCCAAATGCTCTGCAATAGCCAGTTCTTAAGATAGCCAATGATGTGAACAAAACAAGTACTTGAAAGGAGTGGTACAAAGAACGAGCCCAGGAAAGTAGAACTAGCAGTAATCCAGGCCTGAGACAGGACCAGACCTGTAGTTATATAAATGGCATGTGAGTTAGGAAGTGGAATAAATGAACTGGGACTGACTTGACAACACTCTAGGTGTCTGGAGCAATCGACCGTGACAAATCAGGCAGTGCTCCCAAGATCCCTTCCATGTGGGGACTGTACCTGCTCTCCTAGTGACTGTGAACTCAAGGAAGGTTTAGAAACTGAAGCAAAGCAGCTCTATCTGTGTAGAAAAAATTTCACTTATGAGACATTTTCTAAAATTTTTTCTTTAGGCAAAATGCAATGCTAGATTCACCTGAGGGCGTAAGTTCAGAAGAGCTGGGTAGAGTTGTGTCCTCTCTGTGCTAGATGGCATTTCAGCTTAAGAGAGTTAGAGCATGTTCCCAGGGCCCTCGGAGGGCACTGCCAAGCCAGCGGCAGGTGGGTCCTAAGAGTACCAAAAGCAAACACAGCCAGGGTGAGAGGAGGGCATTTACCATTTTTAGGTGATGGTATTTGCTTTTGGGAAATCTAGGCTTGGGGGATATCTGAGTGGAGAAAACTGTTAGTTTTAGCAATTAGGAAGCCACTGGTCAAGGAGAAAAGAAAGACAAGGGATTGAGAGGACTGTGGGCTAAGAGCAAATCAATATAGGAGACACAGTGGAAACATAAAGGGGAAGGGGGAAAAGGGATGGGACAGAGCCTGCAAGGCAGAGAAAGAAAAGATATGAGGAAGGGGAGATACTAAGGGGATCATTGATTTTTAGCAGATAATTCTTAAGAGAAAGAGAGAGATACTAGCTCTAGGCAGAATAATTATTAATACAGAGAATGGTAAAATTCAAAATGTGCCATGTATGTTGTGGTTACTTATATAATATGTCATATGCTCCTTCTTTCTTAGTGAAATCATCTAAGGTAGGGGATGCTTGAAGAAGTTGTTCTGAAAGAATGAGGTTCAGACAGATGTATACTTAGAAAATCAGAGAAAGTAGGTCAAAGACCTTCAGGAGAACATCCAATCCATCTTATTAGTAGGAAATCTAAGGTCTTTTACTTACCTGACTGCTGAGATGTAGTCCCCAGGTCAGAATTAGGTGACCTTAAAATGGGCCATAACTAGAGGAAGGCTTGGAATGGGGCAGCAAAAAGGTCAGCACATTTCCCCCAACACAGAGCCCTTAGGTAATCTGTAAATGTCTGGGTGAATGGAATCTAATGTCTGAGCAGTTCTGGGTGAGAGGGTGGGCAGGCCCAAGTGTCACTCATTAGCTTTGCTTTGGACTATAGTCATCTGCCAGGCCTACATGACACATTCTTAAATCCTTTCCCCTGTAGGTGATCCCACAGCACTGTGTCTTTGCCAGTAACACTTCTGCTCTCCCAATCAATGAAATTGCGGCTGTCAGCAAAAGACCTGATAAGGTAAATTCTGAACAGAGAACCCTGAATTGGTTTACTGATATCTTAGAGCACGAGGAGAGAAGAGATGGGTGTGGGTTACGAAGTAAGTGGATGGGGATGACAGTGTATTTCTGAAAGCTGGCCACAGAAAACCCAATACCAGGACCAGTATGAAATGTAAGAATAAATGAAGAACAACTAACATACATCTTTAAAAGTGATTTGTATCCCTAATGTGTATTACCTTGCAGATGCAGATTTTAAAACCTACCATTATCCTACAATTAGGAATTGAAGGATAGGCCCTAAAAGAAGAACGACTGCTCCCAAATATGCTTCTACAGAGCACACTCTGGGGACTGTCTGGGATCAGTTTGGTTCCCGCTGCCGACCTGGGGATGGAAGATCAGGGCTGTGACAGGATGTGTCCACCTGTAGCTTCACTTAGACCTTCAGCCCAGGACTTGAGCGGGGGTGGGTGTAGAACAGTTTCAGTGAGTGGGTGGCTTGATGCCTGGAAATTTGTCTTTGGATTTTAGTATCTACAAGAGTAATTAAGGGGAAGTGAAATCATTTATGGGGGAATAAAACACTTCACCTCTCTGGAAGATATCGATTATCATCATCTAACCAGAATCAGCCAGAGGTTGGCAGGAAACATAAAAGACCTTTCAACAGCAGAAATTGTTGATACTAAGTCCCCGTGCTAAAAACACAAAAGCCTATTTGTTCTTATGCCGTTTATACAAGCTCGCTAATCCAGGGTAATCTAGTTTCCTAGCACATAGCTGATTAGAAATGATATGAGGCTTGATGGGGGCAGGCTCGGCAATATCAGGACAGAGAATAGGGAGAAATGGCAGCTAATAGTCTGACACTGAGGGAGATGGAGAAACAGTATAAAGTAGCTATGTCCTATCACCCAAAACACCTCTGTAGCATTTAAAATATGGAAAGAACAACTGTCATCTTTCATTTGATGCTAACTTCTTAATCTCTCTGGCGAGTGGAACAAGCGTCACACTTGGCCATCCTTGCCTCCAGGTATCTTGGGTAGCTTGGCCTCCTGTCATTCATATGAAAGTAAGGCCAAAGCATGTTGACCATCTCAGATTGCTGAGGACTGAAGAGTTTTCAGGGATGCGAGCCCTCCAGTGTTACAACTGGTCCATCACAGACAATCCAGGATGAGTTGGTCACCTTAGGCACAAATTTCTTGAGTGATATGAATATGTTTTGTTTGGGGTATTGATTACATACAGTTGTCACAGCTCACTTCTAAGATCGATGCATTGTATTGTTTATAAATTATAAATCTAATTCCATTTTGCTCAGGAATACTGAGTCCATGTCAGGTCCCATGCTTTTAACTATTTAAGACATAAGTAAAGTTTTTGTAAGTTAGAAGCAACTTTGGAATTGCTAAGTTTAGATGACATTTAAGTGATTTGTGTGTTATAGTAGTCAGTGGTCAGGCTTTGGAGAAGGTCTGTGAGAGAATCCCACTCTGCCATTTGCTAACGGAGCCTGAGCTGCTCATTTTAACCTCTTGCTGTCTCTGTTCCTCATGTGCATAGTAGACAGGGCTATAATGGATTAACATAAGGAGCACGTGATAAATGTACTCAAGAACAGGTAGCTGGTGGACGGTAAGCAGTCAATAAACCCACTACCTTAGAGTCAATTTCCACTCCAGTGATCCTATAGGACAGGGTAGAACTGCCCCATAGGGTTTCCAAGGCTCTAAGTTTACAGAAGCAGACTGTCTCATCTTTCTTCCTCAGAATGGCTGGTGGGTTCAAACCACTGACTTTTTGGTTAGCAACTGAATGCTTTGACCACTACACCACCAAAGCTCCTTAAGCAGACAATAGATGATAGGTACTATTAATTATACCTTACAGTTAAAGTAGGGAAAAAGTAAAACTACAAATTAATGAATTAGACTTCTTTCATAATTCTACTGTGAAGACTATTAGTTAAAAGAGGTAGTTCTCAAACCTTAGCCATGCATCCGAATCCCCTGGAGGGCTTGTTAAATAAAGCACAGCTCTGGGTCCTACCCCCAGAGAGTCTGATGCAGTAAGTTTGTGGTTGCTTATTGGGTACCACCCCTGGTGCTTGAGTATTAAAAAGTGTTATTTAAACCTGGTGTCCTGGTGGTGAGACCCATCTATGTAAAATCCATACATCTCTCACAGTTCAGCAGATCAATTCATTCTCCTCCCTCCTCCCCTTCCCCCTCCCCCCCAAAATAGTGGGCCCTCCCACGTAAAGCATCAGCATCATGGAAGTGGCACCTTTATCCATTCTCCCCCTGTACGTCGAATAGGCCTTGAGCTGTGATCCTGGCACTGATTGTTGGTAGGCTCAGATGCCCTTAGTGAAATACCCCAGAAGCAGGAGAGGATTCTCCTTCAGCTCCCACTGAACACACTGAACTTTTTAATCAAAGGACCACATCATCTAAGTACACCAAGCAGTGTTTCTCATCATAGCCACCTTTCCCCCACCATTTTCCCCAGAATCAAGGAGTGCTTGGGAGTCCTGGGCATTCCTGACTCTCGGCCTCCCGTCCCCTGCCAGGTAATTGGCATGCACTACTTCTCGCCTGTGGACAAGATGCAATTGCTGGAGATTATCACAACCGAAAAAACATCTAAGGACACAACTGCTTCAGCTGTCACTGTTGGTCTCAAGCAGGGGAAAGTCATCATTGTAGTTAAGGTAAGGAGCTATGTGACAGAGTGGCAAGTTTTAAAAAGTTTTACTAAGACTCCTTGTATCTCTGGGCTCATTTGTAACTATTCTGTTTAACTCTTCTGGGATAAATACACCAGTTTGGGGTATGATTTTTTTTTCCCCATAGTTGTCTATAGTACGGACACTGGTATCGACTGTCTGTCACTGATTTGGGGTAGGAATGAGGGGTGTCTGAGACAGGGCAGGGCTCTCCTAGCCACCCTATACCTTTCAGGTGATCATGATATTATTTGCTGTGCTGATTGATACCCCTGGGTATGGCTTCCCCTCCAGTTTAATTTTAAGTATTTGGACTAAGGTTATTGATCACTTTCCATTTTGAAGTGACATCTGGGAAAGGGAGAGCAGTTTCAGACTCAGCAGCGGAGGTCCCTGTGAGCTCACTTTCTCTCCCTTGGCAGGATGGACCCGGCTTCTATACCACCAGGTGTCTTGCACCCATGATGTCTGAAGTCATCCGAATTCTCCAGGTTAGTACTATTGTCTGGAATGTCTGAGGCATCTTCCACTTAAATCAGTCTCCAAACTGATAATGTCAAGATGTGGAAAGCTTTCTTCTACCGGACTAACTCCTGGCTCTTCTCCAGGAAGGCTCATGCTGCACTGCACTGGGCACAGTTTTAACTGTTCCTTTAGCTTCCTCACTGATGCAGACGGCAAAGGTCTCCCCACATGCTCGCGTGTGCCAGTCCTGCGTCCCCTTTGAGGCAGGGACCATCTAGATCATGGTCCTCTTGGTCTGTCCAGTGCTGCATCTGCTTCTGCTGGACGCCTATCCCTCAGCTAGCCAGACAAGTCATTCACGGGCAGGAAAGGGATGGATGCCTTCACTGGCTGCTTGCTGAGACCCAGGATCATGGTGTTCTGCAGCACGGTTCCCTGGCAATGTTTCTCCTCTCAGTCATGGGCAACAGCCCAGTCTTCAGTAGAATCTTCTTATTACTGAGATTCAAAGGTGAAAACAAGAGGGGAATAATTGTTTCACCTCCAAACTTTCTTACAACTACTGTAGGTTAGGAAAGGCCCTGATTTTCCACAGGTAGCATTGAAAAGAGATATGAGTTTTGCACCAGGCTTGTCTGGGCAGCACAGGGAACCTGTGGGACGGGGTCTTAGGTAGCCTTCCTCTGAGGTCCCTGCTTCATTCCCTCTTCAGGAAGGAACTGATCCCAAGAAACTGGATTCCCTGACCACAAGCTTTGGCTTTCCTGTGGGTGCTGCCACACTGGTGGATGAAGTTGGTGTGGATGTAGCTAAACACGTAGCAGAAGATCTAGGCAAAGCCTTTGGGGAGCGATTTGGAGGTGGAAATCTAGAGCTGCTAAAGCAGATGGTATCCAAGGGTTTCCTCGGTGAGTAGCCTCAAAGAAAAATGAGTTCTGAACAGTTCCCGAATCCAAAGAATTGCAGAATGCCCATGCAGAAGACAATATTTCCTAACACAGAGCCCATTGTCAGAGAATTTCAAAAATGATTTCATGAGAACCTCCTTTTAGGCTGGACCTGAAGATTTTGGACTAAAGGCAGTACTCTAGCCCCCTGGGGCTCTGCCGTCACCTGGCCCACATCATGCAAGACTGGCAGGCATTTTCTTCTTCCTGAGACCTTTAATAATAGGAGCTCTGGTCGCGTAGTGCCTAAGGCATTTGGCTGCTAACCAGAAGGCTGGTGGTTCAAACCCACCAGCCACTCCTCAGAATGAAGATTGAGCAATCCACTTCCATAGTGATACCACCTCAGAAACCCAAGGAGGGGTCGCTGTGAGTTGAATCCGACTTGACAGCATCGAGTTTGGTTGTTTTTTTGTGTGTGCATTGTTTTGTTGAGACCTTTAATACATCTCTGATGCTGTAAGAGCAAGCTCTGTGGTTAGGGTGTTAACATACTGTCTGGCCCTTTGTGTGGAAAAGTAAAACCTTTCAACACAAAGTACAGTGAGGCCACCTGAGAGGCAGCTTTCTCTCTTGGCAAAGTAGCAGCAAAATCAGCATTCAGGCCTGGACTACAGAACTCACCCAAGTGCTACCTTTCTCATCCAGATACACAGAGCTTTCTCCTTTGCCAACTCTTCTGACAAAGACTAAATCTCCAGGTTTAGCAAGGTAAACAAATTCAGGAATACAAAAGAGAGGCTAGACTTTTGTAACAAGCCAGCAGAGAAGAGAATTCTCAGGCAAGGGCTCTGAGAATTTGAACTGTCCCTTTTTTGGTTCCTTTAGGTCGCAAATCTGGGAAAGGCTTTTACATCTACCAAGAGGGTGTGAAGAGTAAGAATTTGAATTCTGATGTGGACAGTATTTTGGCAAGTCTGAAGATGCCTCCTAAGTCTGAAGTGTAAGTCAGTGGGGTGGCTGATGGCAGGGAAACAGCTGTGTCTCTGGCAGCCAAGACTGCTTTGTTATGGTCACCGTCCCTGAGCAGAAGGAACATTCCTGATGCTGGCATAGTGCTGTGTCCTTTTGAGCTCTTCCCCAGCCACCTTACCTCTAGTAAGAACTGTGGCCTTGTTACGGCCCCTGCTCAGCCCTTGCTGTCAAGGTCCCAGAGAGCAGCTAAAAAGACACATGGTCCTAGGCCCTTCCACTCTCCCAAATGCTTTGCTATCATTTGTGAGGAATTGATAGTTGGGAAATTCAAACCCACCAGCCACTCTTCAGGAGAAATGTGAGCCAGTCTGCTTCTGTAAAGATGGACAGCCTTGGAAACCTATGGGGGCAGTTCTACTGTGTCCTATAGGGTTGCTATGAGTCAGAATTGACTCAGTGGCAGTGAGTTTGGTTTTGGTTTAAAATCAAACATTTATTGACTACCTACTCTGGGCGAAGCTCTGTTCTAGGTGCTGTTTCATCTCAATTAGGAAAGTAACTCTTTGCCAAGGAAAAGCAGGGACTCCCAGGCAGAGTCTTCTCAATGGAGGTGGAGGTTCACTGCTGCTTGTCAGAGCTGTCACGCCAACCCTCCCTTAATATTCTGTACCTTCAGTGCCTGCTTCCCTCCCCTTTTACTCTTCCTATACCTAATAGTCTCTTCTTGTTGACAGCTCCTCTGATGAAGACATCCAGTACCGCCTGGTGACAAGATTTGTGAACGAGGCTGCCATGTGCCTGCAGGAAGGGATCTTGGCCACACCTGCTGAGGGAGACATCGGAGCTGTCTTTGGGCTCGGCTTCCCCCCTTGTCTTGGAGGTTGGTCTTACAAATTGGGCGGTTAGCTCACTTTATCTTAGAGCTCGTGTTGCTGTCTACTTCAACAAAGTCCCATTTTTCCATGCAGGGCCCTTCCGCTTTGTGGACCTGTATGGTGCTCAGAAGATAGTGGACCGGCTCAGAAAGTATGAAGCTGTCTATGGAAAACAGTTCACCCCGTGCCAGCTGCTAATTGACCACGCTAACAGCCTCAAGAAGTTTTACCAATGAGCGGCCCTCACACGTGCTCAGTAGGCTCACTGATCCCCAGCTGCAGGCAGTGCTGTTTTTCCAATAGGGTGGTGTCTAGATTTATCAGCGCTACCAGAAGGCAAACAATCTCAGGCACCAGATTTGCTCTTTGATTAAAGTGCCTTCAGCTATGACTATTTTCCATCCTATGAAATCTGTGCACTTCATAGTGGAAGGTGGACCCACTGTGCTCATGATTTTGTAAGCCCCAAAGTAGCAGCATCTTTGCTGCATGTTCCTACCCAGGAGGCCAATGTGGTGAGGGTAACTCAGCACCCAGCCGAACACACGTTAACCATAAAAACCAAACTGTATTAGCCTCTCTGCTTGCTTGTTTCTTTTTCTTCTGCCTTTGCCCATCCAGTTTAATTCCTCTTCTAAGGAGCATGCTAGAATAAAGCCCTGTATTTTTGAGGTAAAGACGTCCTGAGAGTTCTAGGCAGCAACTTAGGAGGGACTTAGGCACCACGACTAGTGGCGTAGTGCCTAAGGCACTTGACTGCTAACCAGAGGTGGCAGTTCAAACCCACCAGCCACTCCTCGGGAGGAAGGTTGGGTAATCTACTTCGTAGTGATACTGCCTCAGAAACCCAAGGAGGGGTCACTATGAGCAGATCCGACTCCATGGCAGTGAGTTTTGGTTATTTGGTTTTTAAATGGAAAGTCATTTAAACCAAACTGTGTTTAAATGCTTTGGCTGACCTGCCTAAAGCAGCCAAAATATAATAGGTATAGCATACATCCAAACCCATTGTCACTGAGTTGATTCTAATTCATGACAACGCTGTGTTTAGAGTAGACCTGCTACACAGGGTTTCCTTGCCTGTAATCTTTATAGAAACAGATTGCCAGGCCTTTGTTCCACAGGTGCCACTAGCTACATTTGAACCACTAGCCTTTAGTGGTCCAGGACAAAGCCTTTGTATAACCCAGGGACCTTCAGGTATGGCCGGGGGCGGGGGGGGGGACCCTCACTGCCATCAAGTAAAATCCAACTCGTCGCAATCCCTTCTTGGATTTCCAAGGCAATATCTCTACGATCTTCCTTCCAGGGAGTGACTGGTGGGTTTGAACTACCAGCCTTCTGGTTAGCAGCCAAATGCCTTAGGCACTAGACCACCAGAGCTCCTAGGTATGGTGGACTAGGATATAAAGGTATTTTTTTTTCCCAAACTGGATTTCCTCATGGTATGATTTTACCCAGTCTTTTCTTGGTATGATTGATAGCTGGTGCACATGTGCTCATTGGGATATGTGGAGTTATGTTGGTATGTTGGAGTTAAGCAGAGGAGGTAACATTAGCCTGATGTTCACTATATCCTACACCTCACTGCTGCCATAAAGCATGGAAAATGGGCTTACAGTATTTCTGCCTCCACAATGCTCATATGAGCAGTCTAGGGAACGCTGATCCCACCCACCACCTGGCTGGAGCCTCAGCTGCTCCCCTCCCCCTGCACTCCTCGTGTGGAAAGTTCCTACATGGCACTCTGGCAGCAGCAGAGCCCAGCCTGGGTAAATAGTGCTGGGGCTCCTAACTAGGCCTGGCAGAAGGATCCACATTGGATGTGTACAGAATCATAACTGAAGTCCCATCACACTTGATGCATTCTAAACTTTCAGATTATTAGTTCCAATCCTTCCTGCCTATACTCTGGTGCAGTGCTTCAAATATTTTCCTGATCCCAGCTCTTGTTGGGACTGGCAGGCAGGTGTTTTAGCTCTGGCTCTAGTAAACGCTGACAGTTGCTAGGAACCCAAACCCTAAAACCAAGTGATCTCTGAGTTGGGGTTTTCAGATGACCAGCAGAAGTAGAAAATTGATTCCCTGCCCCAAGCCCATCCTCAGGCTTCTAAGTGTGGTTGGGCCCTGGCAGGTGGCATTGTGCTCAAAAGCCTAGGTCTCTCCATTAAGCAGCACTAGGTGATTGTGAATCAGGTGCAGCATTAATGAGAGTTGCAGAGTTCTGACAGGGGAGGGGCCGGTGAGGGGCTTTCAGAGGAAGAGACGAGCTGCTGCTTCCAGGGACATGTGAGTGGACCGCATGCACCCACATTTCCAGAGTCTCCTGCCCAGAGGCACAGGCACTGTGCCTGTCGGTCCCCGTGGTTCTCCACAAGAAAGAGCACTTGACATCCAGAACCTCACTTGCACTGTTCATCAGTGGTCTAGCATTTATTTCACTAGTCCATGAGGACTCATTAAGTCAGCTGCAAGGAAACCAAAGGTCTCAGCCCCTCTGTTTCAGTGCTCTACCTCCCGGTTCCCTCTCCCTCAAAGCTGAGGCAGCCTGCTCAAGCATGAGCACCAGCATGGCTTTGCTACTCTTAGGAAACACTGAGGAAATAAATATCTATGTAGACTAGGTAAGGCAGAAGAGAAGACCAGTACCTTGGGGCCCTGACACTAGGGGGCATGAGGAAAATTAACGTGGCTCTGGTTAACGAGAACAGGTGGGAGAAGGGTGGGCTGAGTGGTTGTACACAGTGACCAACATGCTTGAATCATGTGAACAAGTGCAGAGGAACTGAGCTCCATGAAGAGGAAAAATGTAGTCATTGTGCTTTCTCCCAACCATACCCACCTGTGCCAGTGACTGAAAAAAGCAAACAGAACAGGCACCATGTGTTCATCAGTCGAATGATGGGGGCAAGAGAATGACAGAAGAGGGGAGACTGACCACTTCCCTCTAGAATCAAGGAGTGGCTGACCTCAAGCCACCTCCTCTTACATGGAGTCAGAGTCCAAAGACTGAGCCCAACCTGAGAGGATGAGCGAGCCCAGAGCAGAAGCCAGGGCACTCTAGACGTCTGAGGAGCATCTGCCTCCCTAACTAAGTAGGTCAAGGGTAGATCTATGCTTTTCCAAAGTCATCACTCACATACCAGAACGCTGAGGTAGAGCCTCAGGTGCTGGGCCCATGCTTGTGCTTGATTCACTATGCTCGGAGCCAGGAGCCTAGATCAGGGTGGCAGAGGGGGAAAGAAGGGCATCCCAGAGATAGAGACATCAGCACCTCTGACTCTGGGGCAGTTTAGGCCAAAAGCCCACAGAGCACAAAGGAGAGAGGGCACTTAGGGAATTGTGCTTAAATTACAGATCATCCTTCTTTCTTTGTCTCTAACCTGAACCTACAAGCTTGAGAAGTGCAAGATGTCTGAAGTTCTGTAGCAGAGCACAAAGGCCAGCTTTAACCCCCTAAGGGAACCACAGCAAATGCCTCATCTGGCCCACGTGTGCACTGGCATCTCAGCCCCCTCGCCATGTACTCGGCACACTCAGAAGGCAAGGCGACATCCCCATGCTGAGGGGTCTGATGCTGGAGGCCCACATTCCCAAGTGTGTCTCCCCTGGATTCACTCTGCATGGTTGCCTAGCAGCCTCAGTCTTGGCATGGATTCTTCCCGCAGACAGGACTGCTGGCCGCTCAGGGATTGCTGTCCCCAGCAGACCCCGGCTGTTCCCCAGGGCCTCCATGCCAGCATTCTAGCTGTACAGCTGCCCGCCGGGCAGTTCAGATCTTGGGCCGCCAACCTTTGATGAACTGCATGATCTTCTTGACCTGCAGCTTGGTAAGGTGGAAGTCATCTGCCAGGATGTCCTCACTGAGCTGCACAAAGATGCTACCATCAATGCGTTCTCGGGCAAAGAAGCTCACCACGTCCTCGGAGAGCCCAATGAAACGCAGACTGCGAGAGACCTCCTCCAGGGAGAGCGCAGACAGGTCTGCGGGGGGCTGCCAAGAGGGAGCATCCCGGCCTCCCCAGCCTGCAGCTCTGTCCCGGGGACTGGCAGGAGGCCTCTCCAGGTGTCCCTGGGTGAGAAAAAGTCGTGCCCCGCCTGACTCGGGCCCCTGTAGGGCAGCTGGTGACAATGGGGTGGGGACCTGTCGCAGCACCAGGCCTTCAGGCTCAAAGGCCTTGGAGGGAACAAGGGGTGAAAGGTGGGATCCAGGCCCAGGTGCTCCCCCAACTCTGGGCTCCTGATAGCGCAGCAGCTCGCACTCTGGAGACTCGCCCTGCCCCAGCTCAAAGGTGTCAGAGGGCTCCAGGGCTGGTTCCTGCCACTCAGAGGAAGAGGAGGAGGAGGTGAGGCAGGAGGGAGTGGGAGCAGCTGAAAAAGCCTGGCCTGGAGAGGCTGGGCCTGGAGAATAAGCAGGGCTGGAGGTAGGCAGGGCACTCGAGGTGGCTGTAGGCCCAGAAGAGGAGGCCACTGACGGGACTGAAGGGTAGGCAGGTGCAGAAAATGGGTTGAGAGCTCCAAACGGGGCAAAGCGTTTCTGAGGGTGAGAAGGCTTGAATAGAGGTGGGCAGCTGTGGTAGGTCTTGACGGGGGTGTCAGTCCCCAAGACAGAGGCAGCTCGACTGCTCAGGGGCTCAGTGTGGGCCTGGGAGGCCTGGCTGGGCTGTGTGGTCGAGGGCAGGGGTCCTGGGGTTGGGCGGCTCGAGGACTCGCCCACCTTGCAGTCCCCCCAGGTGCAAGGGTAGCAGTAGAGGGAGTACGCATCAGGGGACGGGGAGCCACTGCCACTGCGGGAGCCAGCCCTGTGGGCAGAGACAGACACAAACACACAGAGCAGAACATAAGGCAGAGGAAGAGGGGACAGGCTCATACACGCAATGCAGCAGGCCACCACTCTGTTAGGCCCTAGAGGCCACCACTCTGATCTCAGCATCACCAGCCCCATAGCCCAGCCCTCAAAGCCTGAGACCTTAAGGGAGTCCCGTCCAATCCTCATCAATGAGGGAAAAAATAGCAAAAAGGAAGGAGGCCAAGCAGGAGGCCGGGTCCCAGGCCCCCAGACTCCCAGATAGCAGTGCCCCCTCTCCTGAGTACTGCACTGGGACCCTCACCCTTTGGCCCTCCCAGGCCCGAAGCCTTCCTCTTCCTTAGCACTGACCCACCCCCACCTGCACCCCACTACTTCATCCCCTGCCTCAATCTACCTTGGAAAGATCCAGGACCATGAGAAGAAAGGGACTCACCCATCTTGAAGGCCAGAAGAGTAGTAGGAGAGGCTAGAGCTGGGTGAGTGGACAGGCTGCAGCTTGGGAAAGCGTGGGGGCACAGGGGGGCTGCCTGAGAGCCGGCTACTGCCATTGCCACCCCTGGGAGGAACAGGCGGGGCGTTGAG